CCCCCAAGCTGCCCGGTGAGCTTAGCGGGTCCCCCCACCCCTGGATGTCCAACAGCAGTCTGTTTCTCCTCCCTCTTCCCCCCTCAACCCATTATTCTTCTAAAGACGGAACAAATCTCTTTTTGAGCCAATTTTGAATAAGAGTATGGGGTACCAGTCCATGACAGGTTACTCCCCAGCCAGTGCTGGTACTCGACAGGAGGAGAGCGGCCAGTATTAAGGATGAAATGGCTTGCCCAAGGCCACAGCCCATGGCCAGCCGCTCAAGTCAAACCCCTGGCCTTCTGGACAGCCCATGGCCTGCCGCTCAAGTCAAACCCCTGGCCTTCTGGTCACGAGAAGCCACAAGTCTTCCCTACCAGGCCGCACTTCCCTTCAGGGAAGAGAACACTGTTTTATGCTGTCAACATCTGGTGTCTTGGTTCTGTTTGATCAACACTCATTCCATATCCTCCAAAATGGGTGGCCTTCCAGTAAGCCATTTTAGCCTCCCGTGTTTCAGTGATTTGTGAAATCGTACCAATATCCACTGACACTTCTTACCTGACACTTAAACTCTGTTTCTATAGAGTACTGGAGTAAATGCGTCACACGTCACATGTGTAAGAAGCAAAGGCGCGGGAACCAGTGCAGCAACCAGCGCGGGAACCAATATGCGCACATTCCCCATTCATTCGCGCTCTTCTTCCTGGTTCAAATGACTTCAAGCTTCGATACTCTATTAATCAAATTCAGTTCATCGGAGTTTGTTATATTGCAGAGTTGATTTTGGTTTTGCACATGTGTTTGCCATTATGTTTGTAAAGGATTGCTTAAACTATAGGCAGAAATTCAAACATACTTATCAGTTTGACAAATCCCATTGCTGTTGAAAATGCAGTTCCCTTTGACGGTATGGCCATTGCTTTTGCAGGAGTATCTAACTCTCTGAAACGAACCATCTTCTTTCCAGCCAAGAAGAAATCAAAGGATTCAGACGGCGAGCCCGCTCCAACCAAAGGCCCAACGGTCAGCGATGGGTCCAGCACCAACAATATCAAGGTGGACGGAGTAACAAGAGTCAAGGTCAGTCCCATGGTAACAGAAGCCTCTAGAAATCTGTTTGTGCCTTGTAAATATGAGGTACAACTCACAGGAGAGATGTAAGTTTGTGTTCCAAATTGTACTCTGCAGATCTTGGAAGCTTTCAGCATGCCCCCCCCTCCCCCAATCTGAACTGTCAATCAGCTGTTTGACGTTTCTGCTATTTAGAGTTGAAAATCCATATTTTGTACGAGATGTCCCTGATGTTAATTCAAGAGAAAAGGCTTTCATCAACAATTGTACTGACTTTTTTTTTCTCACTTCGGCAGGGTCTAAACAATCTTGGGAACACTTGTTTCTTCAATGCCGTCATGCAGGTACGCTCCATCCATGGAAAAGCCTCAACGTACACATTTTTTTTCCCAGATTTTACTCTTTCACCATTTTGTAAAGTAAGATCACAAAAAGTTATCACATTCAGGTCATGGAACGCACCTCCACATTGCATTCTTTTTTGCCTGTTCAACCCCAAGAACATCACCCAGACGCAAGGCCTGCGAGAGCTACTCCACGAGAAGTGGACCGTTGGGAAGGAGGTCTGCATCCCCGAGGACACGCACCTGTCGGTCACCCTTGACACAAGTCCTCCTGGCCAGATGCTCTTTTGGTTTGACACGCCGAAAAAGCCAGAAGAACTCGGCGAACCGGTGGTGAGCAAACTCTAGGGGATCATCAGAGGCCAAAGGAAAAAGTCAATAATTTATTTGTCAATACACTTCTCATCTTGCGGTTCGTATGCAGGCAGGTTTCGTGCACTAAACTAGTTTTTACTTTTCGTTCGCTGCAGGCCCCGATAACTGTTGGTCTTCCAGCTGCGGGGTCGTTGACCTCGTCGCTCATCAGCTTCCTGGACGAGATGAACAAAGCCGGCAAGAGTAACATCATCAACCCCCGGGGGCTCTTCAATCAGATTTGTCAGAAGTAAGACCAATTATTTTTCCTCGTCCGAAAGAGATCAAAGAAATGCAAGAACAGAATATGAACGGTGCGTTACCAACTGTGACCCAACCATGTTTATATTGACAGTCTTTGGATTCGTAAACATCAAAATAGATTTTTGGTGCGTCAGTTTTGTTGTCCCGTGTTTACTTTTTGTAGGTGTAATTGGTGCAGCCAATCGCATAGAAAGACATACAAATAACAGATGGGTGTGTGACTAGATACAGGACCATCACTGTGTGGACCCATAGAAAGACACGCCTATAACAGATGGGTGTGTGACTGTGTGTGAGGACCATCACTGTGTGGACCCATGTAGAAAGACAGGCCAAGCAGATGGTGTGTGACTAGATACAGGACCATCACTGTGTGGACCCATAGAAAGACACACCTATAACAGATGGGTGTGTGACTGTGTGTGAGGACCATCACTGAGTGGACCCATGTAGAAAGACAGGCCAAGCAGATGGTGTGTGACTAGATACAGGTTGTTACCCAACCTAACAAAATGGGACATAAGTCAAGAGCAACTTTTGAACGCAAAAGTCTTTGAAATAAACTTGCACCATGTAAATAAATTTGAACCCTCAACACTTTTCACGCCTGTAATGTAAGTTTTCCTCGGAATGCTGAAACGGGTGATGCACCAAAGCAAACAACTCGGTTTGATCTTTCCCATTCAAACTAAAACAGAATTGTAAATGTGGCTTCAGCTCATTTTCTTGGGGGATCTGACCACAAATGGGGCAAACAGTGACAGGTTGTTGTCGTCCTTGCATTTGCAGGGCCTCACGGTTCAAAGGCTACCAGCAACAGGACAGTCATGAACTGTTGCGATATCTGCTGGACGGCATGAGGGCAGAGGAGATCAAGGTAGGCTTTGCCAACCTGACACTTCCATTAGAAATTAACGACTTGTTGGAATGCATTCGATAATGCCAACGGTCAAACATTATGAGGAACAAAAACTTCCATTTTCAGCAGATAGTTTGTGGTTTTGAGAATGGTTCTTAGTTTTGAGCCATTTCCTACAAATGTTTTCATTTCAAAGTTCTGAGGGTACAGAATGTTATATTTCCGGACTTGAGAGAGTTGGTCTGCATTCCTCTGTTTTCTATTCTGTTTTTGAGAACCAAAACAGTTTCGCATCCCCTTGCCTCCGCAAATTAGTGATGTTTAAGAACCAGTGCATTCATTTTTGGACATCTCTTTCTCAGCATTCTGATTCTATGGTTTTGTCATTTTTGTTGTGGTCAGAGGATGCAAGAGGCCATCTTGGCGCACTTTGACATCAAGGGGTCAAAGGTCAAGAACCTGGACGAGGCCACCAAAAAGAAGATCAAAGCCTACGGCCAGCACTGCAGGCACACGTTTGTGGACAGTGTGTTCAGTGGTCAGCTACTTAGCTCTGTCCACTGCAATGAATGCAACGTGGTGAGTGCCAGTGTACCAGACACAGCCCCGCCCCTCCCTCCCTTCCCCCTAACTCCTCCCCCCCCAAAAGCAAATCTGTGGAAATAACAGAAATTGTGACCACGGCCTGACTTCCAGTGTCCCCGGTCCTAATTCCAATTGGGAACTTCACGTCTCCCGTCAAGAAGGTTTAGCCAAATTACAGTTTTCATTGTAAAAGTTGAATGAAGAAGGGTGATTGCTTACAGGGATGTCTCGTTTTTTGACAGGTGTCTGAAGTACTGGAGCCATTCCTTGATCTTTCTCTACCGATAGTTGAGTCCAAGGTATGTAAGCTTACCTGAAGATTCTTAAAGAATGGTGACGTTATTCAGTGAAACTAAAATGTGAGATTTAAACCAAGTCAGGTGTTTTGTAGATAATTGTGATGCAAAACAGAGCGTATTTACAAGTCCTCTACTTTTTTTTACTAACTGGAACAAAATCTGACAGGGCAAAAGAAATACCGCCCCTCCACGGCCCTCCGAAAAACCAACCCTTCTGGAAAAAAGTGCTGAAGCTGCAGCACCAGTTGCTCAGGCGACAGGTCTGAAGGAGATTGAGAATAAAATGAGCAAACACCAGATTCAGAAGGCACGGGAAAAGGCCAAAAAGGATGCAAAGGTAAGATGCGTATCCATGTCAACAGTTGAGTTGAAGGTCAAAGTTTACAGAGGAACTTGGGATGTCGCGAGAAAAATGGTTGCAGAAACGGGATTTTTCCTGATGGTTTTGGGTTTTTGCTTAATTCACAGAGGAAGCATCGAAAATCACAGAGTGGCCAGCGAGATTCAGCCATTCAGGGCGGAGCAGAAGGAACCCCCATCCAATCAGATGAGGAGGAGGCATTCCAAGATTCAAATGACGCTGACAGCGAGACGTCACTCTTTGATCGCCCCGGTCGCAAAAGCAGCGTTGACTTCACCAGGACCGTCCGGACGACGGGATCCTCCTATGGTCTTTCAAACAAAGCGAACAATCCGGTGCAGCCTGGAGTAGAGGCTAGCAAAGACAAGGAATCGGCGAGTGGCATCACAAAAGATGAATCAAATCCAGACAGGACTAAGAACCATCAGAGCCCTCCAGATATCGACACAGATGAAGAAACTGATAAACTGGTTGGCCAAATGAAAGGCATGACCCTCAAAGAAAAAACTAATGCCAAAAACAATCTTCTGAACCCAACCAAAACAGCTCTTGCTGCTACCTCGTTGGAGAACATCAACGGGAACTTATCCGAGAAGGTCCGTCCCACCAGCAGCTCAGATTCCTATGGGAGCACCTCCAAGCTCAATGACCAAACCTCCAGTCAGACCCAACCAGAGCATGTAGCCTGCAACGGTCTCGGTAGCAGCACCGGCGACAGCACGAGCAGTACTAAGGACACCGTGGTACCCACCGACCCCAAGAGCCAGGCCAATGCCTTTGAGAGTACCTCAGAGGCTAACAAGTCTAGCATCGCCTGCGGTTACACGCCGGTCAGGCTGGCCAAGCAGGAGGACTTCTCCCCTCCTGTCTCTCCCGCCTCGCCCACCCGCACCCGCGTCATGTCAACCCTGGCCCCACGCTACCAGGGCAAGTCGCTGGAGTGCTCCGTGGAGTCCTGCCTCAGCCAGTTCACAGCTCCAGAATGGCTGACGGGACCGAACCGATTCGGTTGCGAGCACTGTTCCAAGAATGCAGGTAATCAAGATCAAATTTTCCCAACAAGTAGGCGCTTGAGTCAAACCTTATGAATTTATTTCATCTGTAAATGTAACAACAGGACAAACGCAATGAAACAACACCGCATAAATCTGTATTTGTCAACTGACCATCCCTTTTAAACCTGTCACAAATTTGTATGTAATTCCAAAATAGTTATGGGAAAAGTTAAAACAGCGATGGATTTGAAAATCTTATTTTCAGACGTCAAGGATAAAGAGAAGAAAATAGTTTACACTGATGCCAGCAAGCAGCTTCTTATCCATCAACCACCGTCAATCTTAACACTTCATCTCAAACGATTCCAACAGGTATGTATCTGCTGGGCCAGTGACCTTTCAACTTTGACCTCAGGTTGTTGTAATACAGTCTATTCCATGAGTCTTGAAGATCACATGAATGCAGTTCATATATGGCACATATCTTAATATTCTAACCTCTCCCGATGACATGTTGTCAAATGTTGGGTATTTTTTCATGGGCAAAACATGGCACTGTTAGAGATATTTGTAAATTTGAGATGTAATCTTAAGTCAATTGAAATATGTCAGCTTAATGTAGAATTGGACTTGCTGGACAAAGGTAATGGGCTTTTTTGGATCTTTTTTTAATAGCTTGGGAAATGTTGTTTTAGCAAAGTTTCAATTTTTGCGTGTTCACCACTTACTGTCAGTAGACGTTTAAACGTTTGTTCTATTGTGGCATTCATGCTTGTCCAGTTGGCTCCGTCGTCGGGATGACATTAGCTTCAAGTTTGCTCTGACTTTCAGGTTGGATACTCGTTACGTAAGATCACTCGCCATATCAACTTCCCGCTCGTCCTCGATCTGGCACCATTCTGCAGCACATCATGTAAAGTAAGTTTCTGTTAAAAGACTACCTTGGATTCTGAAGACTTTCTTAGATATGGGTAAATCTGTGATGTGATTGGTTGAGTGACATTCAAATTTTGTTGTTCAAAAATGGGACTCATTTTTGTCTCTTTTGCCAGCCATACAGTGACAGCAATCAGCAGGTGCTGTACGCTCTGTACGGGATTGTGGAGCACAGCGGGCGGTTACACTTCGGCCACTACACGGCCTACGTCAAGGTGCGGCAACCCAGCGACACCCTTCGGCAGTACATCCACCAGATCCCACGCAACCTGAACAGCATGAACGAGCTGTGGAACAAGACCAACGGACTGGCCAACGGGGAGGACAGCGGGACTGAGTCGGCCGCCAAGGCCGCCACGTCCTGCAACTCGCACGACAGCCAAGCTCCTGCATCGGCGGCGAAGCGGAGCGTCACACCCCCAGAGGGTAAATGGTTCTACATCAGTGACTCTCATGTCAGCGAGGTTCAAGAGTCCAAGGTACTCTCGGCACAGGCGTACATTCTTTTCTACGAGAGGATTGTATAATGGCGCCCTCATTGTTTAGTCCTTCATTTCCTGGTGCAGTAATAACTAACCAGAACTTCAGGGCTAGCTGTATGAAGAAACCTGGAATCTGAAATCAAGAATTCACATAAAGTTGGGAAAAAACAAAATACAGCTCAGTTGTTTTGTGTGAACCATGAATTAGATTTGCCAGATGTATTACCTGGTCGTTCTGTGTCGAGTTGTGTAGGTATTCAGGTCATCACGTGTGTAATCCATAGATGTGGAAGATTCTTAGGTGTACTGTCAGTGTTTGAACGCCACGACCCATGGAGTTGTCTTTCTGCATAAAATACGCCTCTCTGCTGTATCCTGGGTGCATCACAACCTGCGCAGTATTAGCAGGGCTTCCTGCAGTGGTGAAGGGATGGAAGAAATCTACCAATGACACAGGTGTGTTATGCGTGTGGTTGACAAACTTTCTGTGTACCCCTGATGGTGTGTGCCATAGCGTGCATTCAGGTTGCGCATGACCCTTTGAGGGCAGTATTGTGGTTCCACTGATCGAGGGACCAGCATGCAATATTTTACACCTCAGTTGGGCTGAAGGTGCTGAATGCTTTTTGTATCTGTATTTGAAACACCTGCATATTGAGATATATTTAATCATTGTCCCAAGTGTCTAATTTAGTGTTTGGACACATTTAGTGTTCTGGCTGGGTGATTTATTTGTCCATTGCCAGGGGTAATTTGGGATCATGTTAGGACCTATCCCATACAAAATCTGTGCAATTTCAACAGAAACTTGTTTTAATCATGAGCACTTTTAACAGATGTTCATGAAAGTGTGGCGCTTTCCATTGCTCCAACATTGATTGTGAAGAAAATTACAGCCAAGATAATTTGCTGTTTGCTTTATAGCCTTCAAATCTGAAGAAAGGGGTTTCAGCAAAACTTTGGTACCTTTTTGGTACCTGAGTACCATTTTGCTACTTGAGTACCATTTTGGTACTTGAATATTATTTTGGTACCACAATACCATTTTGGTACTTGAGTATTATTTTGGTACCTGAGTACCATATTGGTACGTGGGTACCATTTTGGTACGTGAGTACCATTTTGGTACCCATCTCTTACACATAAATATCCTCCCACATTCATACCCTTTGTAAAAATTTCCCCAAGGTATGAATGAAAAATGTTCAAAAATTCCTATTTTGAAAATGTGTGATTTTGTACAACTCAGAATGATATTATGAACTCATTAAGTACAACTATGCTCGTAATGACATGTAAATTCTCAAATGTAGGAATATTCAACCTGGAGTGTTTTACCGACAAGAAAGTTGGAGACAATACAGTCATTAGATAGTTACTGTGACACCGTTGAATGTTTGTGTAGAAATTTCACTGGTAAGCTTGAAACAGACAGAAGTATCTCCAACATCAGACATGAAACCAGTGACTACCTTTTTGCAAATCCAAATCGATATATTTTCGTAGAATTAGCATCGCATACTTAAAAGTAACTAATTGTAGATAATTGTGAACAAATTCCCTTGGGTTTTCCTTCGTGTTATTAAATGTAATTAATTCTGAGACAAATTTAAACACGGTGACTCGCCCTCGCAAAATGAGGACTAAGGCACATTTGCACTGCGAAAACCTGGTTACACTTAACATGTTAGAGGAATTCCAAAAGATACTACTGGTGTAGTCTTGGCCCAAGACTGCAATCACATTATATATGTCTCTGTATACACTGCAAGGGTGACGCGCACTGGCAGGCACAGCCAAATAGCAGTAGAGGGGGCCAGTCCATTACAGACAAACAGCTCCTCATAGGGAATTTTTTTTTTTTCAGCTCTGGCGTAATATGTCATTTGAGACTTCTTATCTTTAATCTAGAAACATCCGAATCCACACGGAATGAAATCCTGACGTACGTCTCGGTTTGTGGGAGCAGGCCTCAAAACTGATGCATTGTCTCTGTTAGTGTACCATGTTTGAACTTGCTGTAACTAAGGTTTAGCCCTGCCATGGGTTGAACACTTGTGATTGGGGGGTCGTTAGCTCAAAAGGCCTATCAGCCTTTGTTAAAGACTGAAGAAAATTTTTAAAAGTAAAAGTCTGATACAGCAAGGTGACAGAATCATTTAAAAAAGGAATAACAATTTCTCAAAGCTACTTTTGACATTTATTTACCGATAGTTCTACAAGGTAATGTATCCAAAAAGAGACATTTCACCTCCAGAACCCAGAAGTGTCTTCCATGTTTGACAGAAGTTTGTTACTTGTGTGTAAAATTGCAGACGGCATTGTAGAGTTGGGATAATCTTTTTTTATTTGTCAGATACCAGTCAGATTATTTCTGTCAACCATTCGAGAGGACAGTTTGGGGTTTTGAGAAAATATTTCTAGACACGACCAAGTCTGACAGATGATTTTAATTCTTCCCTTTGTGAAGGTTTTGCCAAAAAACACTGTTTTATTTGATATTTGTAGCCAATCATTAACAGCTTTTACTACATCACATTGCTAAGATGACAAAATAAAGTGCCAAGTACCCCCAAAGATGCAGGAAATTGTTGATTGTCTTTTAACAGAAGGACAAATATTTCTTTAATGTAACTGTTCCAAGTCATTTATATTCTGTTGATGATTGTAGAGTTATTAAAAGCCATGAATATTTCAATACGTGCTCAGGAAAACCATTTGAATGTTACCTTAAAACTTATCTGTGGTTTATATTGAAAGTTGAAAGTGTAATGCATATTCATGAGAGCAGTAGTTCAGCATTTATATGTGGTGGATGGTTGTAATGGGAAGTACTTACTATGTGATATATTTAGTATAACTTTGAAATTATGCAAAGGGACTTATTTCCATTTTAAGGGTAAGGGGTGTGAGTTTTTATCAATGGCCATTGGAAAGATTATAAGAAATACCTACTTCAAAAGAGTTTGTGAAATATAAATGGGACATTTTATGAACTTTGTAAATTCTACTGTTCTGGAGATAATGTCTCATGGCCATTGCAGCTGTGCAGCATTTGAAGTTTATTTTCCTAAATTTGTATTTTTATTATAAAGTTCTTTTGTTAAGGTAGCATTAAAATGTACAAGAATTCGTTTGAGATTGACTCACCTTCAAGAAATCTTCTTGGCCACTTGCCAAAACAAAAGACAGAAAATGACGTGATCTTTCTTTCTTCATGAAGAAAATGTGATACCTGTCTAGCGTTTGTTTTTCCTATTATTTTTTTTCTATGTTGTCTATGCTCATTTGACCACAGCTTTCAACAAAATCTCTTCAATGGTAAGCATTACTGGCGTTAAAAGGAATTTTACTTTTGGTTTTTAATGGTGCCCAAATTTAGCCGTGACACAGGAAAGTTTTGTTGTAAGTATTAAACGAAATGTATAGTACAATGATTGTGTCTATGCGCATCTCATTTACAAATATTGTATCTTTTATTTGTGAAGCAAAATTTTGATTAGGAAAAAGTTAAAACTACGTGTACAAGAGGGTTTATTTGGTCCCTCTTTTTCTTTTGCCAAGCTCCGCCCATTTCCCCTTTAATGAAGGATTCTGAATTACTGGACTTGATTGACTGGATATTAAAATGACAAAAATGGTAATATTTATGTCATGTTTAATTGAAATATTCATTGTATTATCAACGGTTTTGGGTGCTTTGAATAATGCGTCACGTTTCGTGGATTCCATAAAATGTGGGATGTGTGTATACTGCGAGGGGGGTTATATGCAAATGAGCTGGGTCAGACGTCGTGGCACTATTTCATTGAACGTACGGCTATCAACACCACGTCAGAAAATGTGCATGTTGTTGTTAGGTGTTCCGAATTCTGATTTAATTATAAGATTATGACAAACTGTTCTTCAACAGGGCTGAAGCTAGCGTGGAGAAGAGGAAGTGCTGTCTGAAATGAGGTACTGTAGCCCCACTGCCCCCAGTTTAATTGTCTCGATCTCTGGGCTTGGTCTTATCTTAGTGAACTCGTTCGTTCAAATTGTTGTTGACCTCAATGTGATTTTACTTGCGTAACTCGTGTGAACGTAACGTGCAGATATATGTGCTTACCAAATTACGGTATGGAAACAATTCGCTATGATTTGACGTTTGATCGGTGTTTTCGATTTCCTTGTTAATTGTTTTTCGTGCTGTATCAACTTGAATAATCAAGGCAGGTGTACCACTTGCAAGCAGAAACACGTGCAGGCATGTGTGCAAACGTAGGCAAACCCGTAAACCCTACCTCCATGTGAAACAAACAAGGCCTCACACCCTCAGGCTCGATAGTTTCATTTTCAGTTGTCATGATTATAGACAGGAGACAAGCGAGTGTGCAAGTGTAGCCAAACGGTTTTTTGTATTGGTTTGTTCAACTTGGAAAGAGTTCCAGATACAACCAACGCTTGATGTCCCTATATGCACAGACCTATGAGACCTTTTTTGAAAAAACGTAGGCTAAGTGTTTTCAGAATTTTCGTAGCTACGGTTCACTTTTCAGGACATGTTGTTCCTTTTTGATGGCTGTTGTGATATTTTAATATTTTAAAAGAAAACTCAGTGTTGTCCGTATCCGGAACTCTTTCCGTTCCACTTTTTTATTCTTGTAGATTTCTGTAAGCTGCAAACGATGCCCGTGAATCGAGCGGCCATATTCCAGCTGACGTTGCTGTTACTGATTGTTCCCATTCAGTATCTAATCACCCAATGGAAGCCAGTCAGTAACACAGAGAGGACGCACAACTTGCAAAAGTATGTTACTCAGGCCCTACGACATGTCCCCGGCTTGAGCAATTCCTCCTTTAATGCTCGTTCATGAGGTCTGTCTGTCAGGGCTGGAATAACTCATGCTTACGCTTACCTTGTCATAGAGAAGAATTACCTAAAGAGTTTGTAGACCTGAAAAAACCTGTCTGAAAAACAAAGGAAAGCAAAGCAAAACAATATCATACAAAACAAAAACGGTCATGGCGTACATGTTAGTATACTTTTCCCAAATGATGAATATAAAGATCCAGTCTGTAAATGTTGAATATTCAAGTAGGCCTGCTTCTCTAAATTATGCAAATATTCATCAATAAAAAGAAAGTTAATTTAGAAGATGAAAAGCAACATCTTGATTCCAAAGGTGTTTTTTTTTTCTTTTTAGTTTAATGGTCAAACTAACGGCGTGGAAAAAGAAAGTCCTGTCGTTAAAGACATGGAAGCAGTGCTATGAGAATGCCATCAAGTATGTGACAGGAAGCTTTGAGAAGTATGCCTACCCAACCACGGCTGAAGATGACACAGACAGGGGAGAGTCCCCCGCTGTAGAGGTGCTTCGTTACAAGGATAAAAGTGGATATTTTGCAGGTGAACTTCTCTTTAATCCATGGGGGGAAACACCTCTGAACTGATATCTGGTCATTTATCAAGAGCTCCTGTGCTTCAGAATGTTCTTGGTCAATTTCAACTTGACGTAAAAGACAGAAGGTGACGATGTCAAAATTAGTTGGCCAACCGTGGTGAACAGAATGGTTCGCCGCTTATGAGTGAAGAGTGTTATAGGTGGTATTGTTGGATCCTAGGAGATTTACTCCTAGAAGAACACATATATGTGTGACGAAACGATATTAGAAATCCACTCACAGTATTTAGTGATATTTTATATTCATTTATATATTTCTTTTTTTTTTTTTTAAATGTGTTTTTCGTACAGGGTCAACAGAGCCGAGGAGCCCGAGGTCAACAAAGGTCAAATACCGCATTGGTCAGGTGATCCGTCACAAGGTCTGGGGATACCGAGGGGTCATCGTGGGATGGGATGAAACGGCAAAGGTAGGAGAATCAATGTCTTATTTGTTTGTGTTGTGTGTTTGTTTATTTGGTTTTTCTTAGTCAATTTGTGCCAGTCATATTTCCTGATGTTTTTGGTGTTATTTCCTCGTGATTCAGAGTTAGGCAAATGCAGTGATTCATTTTCAGGCTTCTGAGCTCTTAAATTTGTAATGGATTTTTTGGTAAAAAGTTTTTCCAAATTCAGGTTAAAATTCAAAATTGTGTGTGTCAGAAAGTGCTGCAAAACACTTTCTATATCTGTCCTCTGGTCGCTATCTTCTACTGCCAGGCTGACTTAGCAAAGGAAAACTGTTTTCTCTCATCTTTACAGGCTCCCAAAGAATGGATTCAGCAAATGCATGGCAATCATAAGGTACGTTGCCTCCAAGCATGGAGAAATCGAATAGTCATCTTCACAATTGACCTTGGCAGGAGCAGTGGCTCGTGATGAAACTCCTGCATGTTCATTGTCAGTGAAAAGAAAAAACTGAAATGAAGAAAGCTTAACCCCTGTTCAGTGGGTGGAAAGATTTTCCTAAGTCAATTCAGAATTTATATAACTTTGAAAAAGATCATTTAGATCTTAGAGAAATATTTTGAGGCTGTCATGATTGTGTTCATGACTTCAATGTAACACCTGTCTTGATGACCTTAAAGTCTTCTATGACCTTTAACCCCCTACTAACCTTTCACCCTTTATACTTCAGTCTTCATGCTGTTTGAATATATTTCCCACTCTCAAATTCTATATACATGAACAACTTCCTGGGCAGCATGTACCTGAAATGCCACCCTTTGATCTCTGCCCCCTTGCTGATCTCTAACCCTATTGCTAACCCTTGACCTCCCTGCTAGCTTAAGCAGCCATTCTACGCTGTGCTCACAGATGCTAGAGACTATGAGCCGGCCGTGGTCTACATCGCCCAGAGTCAATGCGAGCCTCTCTTTCTTCCCAGTGAGGTATCCCTTCATCATCGGTCTCCTGCCTTCCTTTCCACCGGTGGAGGAATTTGAAATCTGTCAGTACCCCCCCCCACCGTCTGCCCCGCCTCCTCCTTTCTCCTTGCATGCTATATCACCAATCTGTCACGGTCTCTTTGTGTTCAATTTTTTCCCCCTACTCGATGGTCAGCATTGGCGCAATTTGCCCAGTTACTCAGTTCTAGTGGACACAAGAGACCGGATGGACGTCCAAACAACATACGTCGTGGAGGAAAACATAGAGATTATCAGAAATACAAAGGTGACTATACATCCCCCCCAACCACCATGGCAAACTTCCTCTCCTGACCACCCTACAACCGAGTGAATCAGGAATTGTTTTTTTAATCGTTGTTTTTTAATGCTGAAAAGGTATTTATCAACATTGCTCTGTCGTGTTTGTTTTCTCCTTTCATTTTACTTCATTTAACAGAGGATTTTTTTTTAATCTGGTCATTTTTGTTCACATTGTAGTTGTTTAGAATTTTTACCGACAGTCATTCATTTTAAGTCTTTGCTCTTTGTTTGTTTATTTTGGTGTTTTTTCCTTCAACAATTTGTGGGGGAACTGTGAATGGAATCCCGTACGAAAATGAATGGTAGGACTTGTCTCACATGACCGCTGATTTGTGCTTTGGAACTGTGGTCTGGTCCTGTCGCTAGCCCATTCAAATTTATCTAAAAACTCATATGACAAAGTAGGATTCAAGCCGGAGTGGCAAAGATCTGTAGATGGAATGGTTTTGATTTGTACACTGTGTGTGTGGACTCACAGCTGGGTATAAGCCGGTAACAAATGATATTTTCCAACAGGACTCTGGCTCAGAGTTGTTGAGCCCATTAGCAAACACTTTGACATTTTTTTGTATATCGTATCTCCAAATATTCATATTTGTACTGGTTACCAGAAGCCTGATTACTCTAATGATGCTGTCCTATTACCCAAGTATAGTTCCCTTTTTCCCTTCTTTGATTTTTATATAAGTATACTTTTTGCACTCATATAGACCAATCCGTTTAAACCCCATTACTATGGTGGCACCACACTCACACACACATTCTTCAGGTTGACGCACGCGTGCGTGCGTTTGATAAATCAAGACACCCTATTGGCCAAAATGCATGTAACGTGCTCATACCACCTGTCCACGAGCGTTGTGCCACCGAAGTAATGGCTTCTAATTCTGGTTCTTGAATTACACTATAGAATCATGGGCTTGTAATGAATTAAATATGTAAAGCTTTTGTTCTTCTGGTGTGTTCCATCGCAGATAGTACACCCCGACGTGGAGGACTATTTTGAGAAGTTTGACGGCACGCGCTACCTGGCTCGGCCCTGGCTGAAAAAGATTTACCCCCATGACCAGTGACGTTTTTCCAAGCTTTTTTGTCCTGTTGAAAAGACCAGTAACCCAAAGTTTTAATTCTTCCAAAGTTGCATGTCCTCGACCTCTTTTTTTTTTTGGTCATATTGCAACCAGACCAGTTTGCTTTGTGTTTTTACATTGATTCATTTTTTTCCCCTTAGATCAAGAAGGTTTAGGAGTAATTTATTGGCCTGGTGAGCAGGGATAATCACCTTATTAACCTTTGGGGGATACTTGTCCATGTAAGTCCCCTTAGTTTTTGAGAAAAATGTTATTAAAATTACGGTCATCTCCTCCCTCCAGTCAGTAGTTCTCATGGGGCAAAAAATCCATGCTGTAAACGGGCAATTCTTGATATGATCGGCAAAGTGCAACAAATGAATGTAAATATTGTTCGACAAGTCAACGTGAAAGCAATATACACTCCTTTTCCCAATGCATTCCAACGGATCTGCTAGTGACCGGCACCTTGACAGATCTTAGGCTGCTGGCTTTAGTGCATCCGTTGTTCATTCTCTGGTTCTTATTTCTTCCTGACCTGTAATTTTGGCTTCATTTTCTATGCCGCCGAGCCTGTCTGGAATTTCCTACCAAGAAGAAAAATGATGATCATAAGAATTTTTTTGGGGGGGAAGGGAGAAAGAGAAAATTTTTTTTTACCCACCAAGTAAAAAAAAATGACAACCACGGAATTAACTCTGGATGCCCGTATAAGCCAGTGGATAAGGCATTCATTCATAACCTTTGCAGTTGAAACCAAACTAACATTCTTCAAAGCTTTGCTTCATCTTTAGCAACTGGATAATTCATATTTGAAGACATTCTTTTGAAAATGCTGCTTCTTGAATTGTGCCTCTCTTCCATAGGTGTAAATTAGTTACTTAGTTGAAATGTCCATCTGCAATCTGGACATGTTTGCTGATCTTATTATTTCTGGGATTGCTTATCCCAAGTCCAAGAGCGATCTTGCTCCGTGACTTGAGTTGAAATTGGTCTCCAGCTACATGAATGTGTTATCTCTTCCGTGAATAATCAGAAATCAAGACACTATGAAGATTTTTCAATTACGGCATTTTAAGATTTCTTAAAGAAGAAATTGGCGAAATGTGGATGTAGCACATGGTGAAGCCTGGAAAATCTTTCACCGTTTTACTTGAAAATTTCATCTCATTTACCCTTTTCAAAGCAGCAGTGACTTCTGTTTTCAGATTGTGAATGGGTCAAGATTGCCTTCAAGAACAAACGGTACTTCAACTGAATACAGTTGTCGTGTCGCCTTATGTATATATTATTGTGAAAGGAATAAATTATATGCACTTGGCAAGCTTTATTCTTTATGTTTGAGGTGTGTGTTTTAGTTCATGAGGAGCATTATAAAATATTTGAAGGATCCACGTTTATATTTATCGAACCCCCTGAGATACTGGCTTTTATTTTTAGTAGATGCCATCATCATGCATGTAGATTGACGCAAAATTATTTGTGGAGAAATTTTCAGCTGAAGTTAAACTTGCAGGGGGTTAGCCTTGCATTGTGATGAAATTTTCACCAAAATTTGATTTTTCTCCAAACTGCTTTAAAATACCTTCAAATGATGAGGAAGATGTTCTCAGAACTAAAAGACGTCTTTTATGCAAGTTTCATGAAAAATTACATTGCAGAAATTTTGAGCTGAAATTACACAGATTTGCAAGGGGTAAGCCTTGCATTTTGATGAAATTTTCACCAAAATTTGGCTTTTCTCCAAACTGCTTTAAAATAGCTTCAAATGATGAGGAAGATGTTCTCAGAACTAAAAGACGTCTTTTATGCAAGTTTCATGAAAAATTACATTGTAGAAATTTTGAGCTAAAATTACACAGATTTGCATCTTGCATTTTGATGAAATTTTGACCAAAATTTGACTTTTCTCCAAATTGCTTCAAAATGCCTTCAAATGATGAGGAAGATGTTCTCAGAACTAAAAGACGTCTTTTATACAAGTTTCATGCCAAATTATACTGCAGAAATTTTGGGCTAAAATTAATTAAATATGCAAGGGGTAAGCCTTGCATTTTGATGGAATTTTGACCAAAATTTGATTTTTCTCCAAACTGCTTCAAAATGCCTTCAAATGATGAGGAAGATGTTTTCAGAACTAAAAGACGTCTTTTATGCAAGTTTCATGAAAAATTACATTGCAGAAATTTTGAGCTGAAATTACACAGATTTGCATCTTGCATTTTGATGAAATTTTGACCAAAATTTGACTTTTCTCCAAATTGCTTCAAAATGCCTTCAAATGATGAGGAAGATGTTCTCGGAACTAAAAGACGTCTTTTATGCGAGTTTCATGAAAAATTACATTGCAGAAATTTTGGGCTGAAATTACACAGATTTGCAAGGGGTAAGCCTTGCATTTTGATGAAATTTTGACGAAATTTGACTTTTCTCGAAATTGCTTCAAAATGCCTTCAAATGATGAGGAAGATGTTTTCGGAACTAAAAGACGT